AATTAGAAGACAGAGTTGGAAATATCATTCATTTAGAGAACCAAAAAGAAAAATAATAATTAAAAAACAGGAGGACAACTTAAGGGAGCTGTGGGACAATGTGAAACATAACATAACAATATTAGAATAGTAGGTGTGTCAGAAGAGGCAGAAAGGGAGAAAGGAATAGAGAAGGTGTTTGAAGAAATAATGGTAGAAAACTTCCCTAACCTGGTAAAGGAAAAAGTCACACAAGTTTAGGAGGCACAGAGAACCCCAAACAAGAAGAACCCAAACAGACTCACACCCAGACACATCATAATTAAAATGCCAAAAATTAAAGGCAGCAAGAGAAAAGAAAACTATTACCTACAAAGGAGTTCCCATAAGGCTGACACCTGACTTCTCACCAGAAACTCTACAGGCCAGAAGGGAATGGCATGAAGTACTCAAGTTAATGGAAAGCAAGGTTCTGAGACCAAGATTACTATAGCCAGCAAGGCTGTCATTCAAAATAGATGATTAAATAAAGAGCTTCCCAGACCCCTCCCCCCCAAAAAAATGGCTAAAGGAGTTCATCACCACCAAGCCAGCATTACAAGAAATGCTAAAGGGATTGCTGTAAGGGATTGCTGAGAAGAAACAGAGAGAAACCTAGCCATACAGAATTAAAATGGCTATAAATAAGTCTCAATAATAACCCAAAATGTAAATGGATTAAATGCTCCAATCAAAAGGTGTACGGTAGCTGAATGGATACAAAAACATGACCCAACTATATGCTGTCTACAAGAGATCCACCTCAAAACAAAAGACACACACAGGATGAAAGTGAAGGGATGGAAAAATTTTTCCATGCAAATGGAAAAGAAAAAAAAAGCTGGAATAGCAATACTCATATCTGACAAAATGGACTTTAAAAGCATCATGCTAAGCGAAATAACCCAGTCAGAGAGAGATAAATATATGATCTCACTCATTTGTGGAATATAATGAACAACATAAACTGATGAACAAAAATAGAGCCAGAGGTGGGGAGGGAATATACTAGAATATAATAGAAGTAATCCTGTTATTTGCAGATTTTTAATATTCCCTACAACTTTTGTGATATCATACTATGTTAGTACAGTTTGGTAATATTATACTTAAAATCTTTTTATTCTTGAAATATTAAGGTTTTTTGCATGTAACATTATTATATTTAAAATAGTTTTTCTTGAAATTAAAAAAAAAAAAAGACGAGTAAAGTAAGCAGAAGCCAGGTTATGAAGGGGGAATTTAGACTTTCTCCTGAAGGCAGTGGTAGATTTTTAAGCAAAAAGACAGTATTTTAGAGAGATCACTCTGGGTAGGTAATAATGAAGTTATTTGAAATGGGGTTGTAGTGGAAGGTGAAAAGGTACAAAATGAGACGAAAAGGCTAAAGATGGTAGCCTGAACTTAGGGAGAAACTTTAGGGATAGAGGGAAGTAGATGACTATTCCAAGTTAACTCTCTATTAATGAAGGAGAATATACAGAATGTCATGATTCATTACCAGTGGGAGAGTGAAAGAGCATTGTCAAAGATAACAGATTTCTGGCTTGGGCACGTAGGTAAATCGTAGGACTAGTAACTGATGTTAAAGATCAGAAATATAAAAGCACAGATTTTGGGGTGTATGAAGGGTGGGAAAAGAGATGGTGATTTCAGTTTTGTAAATGTAATTTTTTTATTGTGGTAAAATACACATTAAGTAAACTTTGCCATTTTACCATTTTAAAGTGTACAGTTCAGTGACATTAAGTATATTCACAGTCTTGTGCAACCATCACTACCTAGTTCCAGAATGCTTTCATCACCCCAAAAGGAAACCCTAAGTAGCCCCATTAGGTAGTCACTCATCAGTACGTGCAGATTTTGAGGCATTTATGTGACATCCAAATATAGATGTTAAGTAGACATTTGGATATGTAGTACTGAAACCCAGGGTAAAATGTTAGGCTCAAATTACAGATTTTTGAATCATTAGCATGTAGATAGGGAGCTCTTAACCTGGGGCCACCACTGATATATATATATAGTAATTGAAATCATGGGGGTGATTAACAAAACTCAGAAAAAATGACCAGTGAAGGGGGAAAAAAAAAGAATGAGGATGATACCACGGATAACATTAAAGAGGTTCAATGGGTGTTATCTTGAGTACAAGACATAAAATTCATGTCTGCCTCAAGATAAGTAAAGGCTTTTAAAGGGCAATGGTATTTCCTACTTGTTAGTTTTACCTCACTTGGTTGCCTCTGCCCAACACATATTTCACAAATTCATTCATTTGTACTCTTAAATAAATTATCTCCTTAGTTTACTAGTCATACCTTTTTTCTTACTTAGTCTTCGGCCATTAGGTTGGTGGGGTAAGTATCATTACAAGTCAACAATAGAGTTAGCTAAGTTGTCAACAAGTGTGTGTGTATCTTGTGGATAAAGCAGCAGTTCTCGAAGTATGGGACTAGAACCAACAGCATCAGCATCACCTGAATTTGTAAGAAGTGTAAACTCTTGAACCCCACCACAAGAATGAGAACTCTGGGGTTGGGACCCAGCCTGTCAGGCGATTCTGACGCATTCTAAAGTTTGAAAACAACTGTGCTAGACTTCCTGGCCAGTGTTTTCAGTCTATAAATAAACCCGGGGTTCCTGGTTCTGTCTTTATCTTTTATATATAATCTGGATGGCAACATTTTGCAATGTCTGATGAATTAATTATTCATGAAAAAGTTGTCTTGGAACATTTTTATCCATCTGTGACCTTCGCCACTCTGAATTATAGATACAAATATTATTTCCTGCATATTATTTTCTCTTTTGATGTGCAGTAGTCATCTTCAACAATATACATTCTAAACTGTCCACTTACTAAAATGCTGTGAAAAGGAAATAGTTATTTCTGTAAACACCCTTTCTTACCCATCTTGTTCTTTGTTTTGGAATCTCCTGGTCTTATGCTGAGTCATATCCTTGGCTTTGGAGAGTATGAAATGAACCTCACTGAAATTGCATCCTTTTCTCTTCTCTTGAATCCAGAACCAAGCGTGGCCTTGCTTAGAGATGCAGTAATTATATACAAATCTCTTAGGTTTAGTAGCCATAGTCATGAAGAAACTAGAAGCTACAGACTGAATTTGGAAATAATTGATCTTGGTCATCAAGGCCAATTGAGGAAAGTTTTCAGCTTTTGCTAATCCAAGGGATAAGCCAGGTAATGCAGTGTTCTAATTGTCTCTGTCTTTCCAAGAAGTTTGTACCCTAAGTGAGGCCATGGATGATGTTTTATTTATTTTTGCATCTTTGACCATGTCACAACAATACATACTAGGCCAGTGATGGCGAACCTATGACACGCGTGTCACCTCTGAACTCATTTTTTTGGTTGATTTTTCTTTGTTAAATGGCATTTAAATACATAAAACAAATATCAAAAATATAAGTCTTTGTTTTACTATGGTTGCAAATATCAAAAAATTTCTATATGTGACACGGCACCAGAGTTAAGTTAGGGTTTTTCAAAATGCTGACACGCCGAGCTCAAAAGGTTCGCCATCACTGTAGTAGGCACTCAATAAACACTTGCCAAATTTAATTCAGAAGTTAGATAAAGATTTTAATTGTGGCTCTACCTCTAAGCCACTGCGAGTTAATTGACCTCTGATTTCCTCATCTCTAAAACAGATCTAATAAGTTTTGCTCTGTCTACTTCCCAGTGTCTTTATAAGAATTTAAAGATAGAATATATATGAAGTACTCTTTAAAAGTCCAGAGAGCTCTGTAAAGGTGAAATTACATAACCATTTTGACTCAGATGCTCTCTACCTTAGAGGAATAATTGGTTCATTCTGAATTGTGGAGAGAGAACTCAGCACAGTGGGCTGGAAGTCAGGAGGTCCTTATTCTAGTTCTGATTTTCTTTAAATTCTTTGGCTCTTAGTCTCCTTTGATCTCAAATGAGGAAGCAGAGATCAGATTGGTTCCCAACCTTGGCAACACATTGGAATCACGTGATGCTGAAAAATACTGATGCCTGGAAGCCACTCCAATATATTTAATTTAATTGGTCTGGGGAAAATTCTGGGCCTTGAGATTTTTTTAAATTTCCTGTGTGCAACCAAGGTTTTGCATTTTTTAAATCAGCAAAACCATGCAGTTAGATAAAATCTTACACAAAAATCCAGGCTACAACATACATACCAGTGGAGCTTCTGCAGTTGCTGTTTTAGGACATTAAGCTCCAACTGCCAATCCCTTTTTCTTGTGTCCCATTTTAGAATTCATGCTTCATGGAGCACTGTTAGAAAACCATTGTAACAGACAATTTTCAAAATCGTTTACAGGTACAAAACAATGTTAGGACCTTATGCTTTCTCACGAGAGCTATGTTCTGTGTTTTTCTTAACACCAATTTGATTCATTGTCAGACTGATTATTACGGAGGTTAGCTTTTCATTTACTTCCTTCTGATTACCCTAACTCTTTTGCCTCAAGATGATGATGAGTCTAAAATTCTTGCTGCCACCCTCCCCAGAGAGTCTGATCCCATTCATCCAGGGAGGGAGTCAGGTGTCTATGTTTTCCACAAGGACTTTTCATGTCTCTTTGAAACAGTTGATCTATGGACCACACTTTTGGGAAAGATTGCTCTAAGAGTTTTGGGTCAAAAGTAAATAAGGGATGCTGAAGTGTTGGGACAGATTAATGGATTTCCCCCTGAGCTCAGTGCCTGATCTATCAAAGAGGAGCATCTGGGTATTTAAGACTTTATTTTTTTTATTTTTTATTTTTTGTATTTAAGACTTTAAATTGTACTCCTTCTTATTTGACCATAGTTCTCAGTTACTGCCCTAAAAACCCACTTCACAACCATCTCTTCATCTGTGGCCAAGTCTATAAAGAGATGATATAGAATAGTAGTCAAGAGCAGTCAGGCAAGCAGGGGTTCAAATCTACCACTGTAACTACCACGTTCTGATTGTATGATCCTGAGTAAATCACTTAATCTTAAGCCTCAGGGTATATATTTGTGCAGGGGCCATGCTAATCTTCTCTGTATCGTTCCAATTTTAGTATATGTGCTGCCGAAGCGAGCACTATATTTGTAAATAAATAAATAAATAAAAATAAGAAGAAGAGGAAGGGGAGGGGGAGGACCACCCTCTTTCTAGGCCCAGGTGTTAGTGAAAATTACACAAGATTAAATGTGTAAAGCACATAGTACACAGTAAATTTTGATAAATGGTAGATATTATTATATCAGCAGGACCTGGACTAACTGACAAGGAGTTTTTTGTTTTATTCTTAGGTGGTGTTTCCCTGAGATGAGATACATAAAACTTTATATTTCAGGTAAGTGCTCAGCTTATATCCGCTGAGATATCCGGAGTTCACCAATCAATAATAGTATTTGCTTAGTACTACACTGTCCCATGTTCCACCCACAAAGCCAAGAAATTGACCGCGTGTGCTCTCAGAGCATTCATTAAAGTATTGAATGAAGCTCACCAAGAAACTTTTAACAATTTTGGATCTCTAAGAAATTTCTTAGTGCAAAACACAGGCTTGACTTCCCTCTGGATGGGCTTAAGACTATTTGTGTGTGTGTGTGTGTGTGTGTGTGTGTGTGTGTGTGTGTGTGTAAAGGTGTGAAGAAAAAATTTATCTAAGTGGTTCTTACCATTGGTGATATTACTTCACATTTGAGAGTAATGTTTGAATGTTCTTTTTAGAGGGAAGTGAGAGGAACATTCTACCTGAAGACTTGAGGCAGACAGGTAAGTGATTTAATTTTCAAGTTGTTTAAAACAGAAAGCTATGATAACAATGGTGGAAATAGGTTTTTTAAAATATATTTTTGTATTTTTTATTTTTAAAAAAATATACTTTTATTAATTTCAGAGAGGAAGGGAGAGGGAGAGAGAGATAGAAACCTCAATGATGAGGGAGAATAATTGATCAGCTGCCTCCTGCACACCTCCTAGTGGGGATGGAGCCCACAGCCCCGGCATGTGCCCTTGACTGGAATTGAACCCAGGACCCTTCAGTCCGCTCTATCCACTAAACCAAACCAGCTAAGGCTCAATTCTTTTGGATATGTACCCACAAAAGGAATTGCTTGATTATATGGTAATTCTATTTTTAATTTTTAGAGGAACCACCATACTGTCTTCCGTAACAGCGGTACCATTTTACATTTTCACCAACAATGCTTAGATGCTTAATATATATTTATAGAGTGAGTGGTGAAAAATTTTGATGTTGAAAATATGTCCATTCTCCAAATTAATCTACAATTTGAAGGACTTCAATCTAAAAGTCGCACAGGAATTTTTAGGACATGACATATTGATTTCAATATTCTTTAGGAGAAAATGTAAGGATAGCATAAAAATATTAAAGAAGGACAAGGAGATTTTTCCTACTAGATATCAAAACATAACCATGAACAATGATTACCTCTGGAGAGAGAAGTGGGAAAAAGGGATGTGGTGAATATTGTGAAAAGAATCCCTAACTTAAAACAAAATTCAAGTTGTGGCACATTCTATAAAACAACTGTCCAGTAACCTTCAAAAGTATTAAGATAACAAAAAAAAAAAAAAGAAGGAATGAGGAACAGTCTCATGTTGGAGGAAATATACAACTAAATACAATGTGGGATCCTGTAATTTTTAAAAAGTACATTAGTGGAAAGAATTGGTTAAAAAATAAATAGTTTATTCACTTCAGTTAATGGTATTATGCCAAGGTTAACTTCTTAGTCTGTTAATGGTTCTATGGTTCTATAAGATGTTAACATAAGAGTAAGATGGGGGAAAGGTATATGGAAATTCTCTATGCTATTTTTGGAAATCTTCTGAAAATTAAAAATTATCTCAAAATAAAACATTTTTTAAAATGTAGTGACCCAAATTGTACCGACTCTTTCAATAAGGGTATTTTAAAAATTACTTTTCCGAGTAATACAGGAGAGTATTTCCTATACAGTTGATATAGTCTCTTTAATTTTTAGGTCTTTTTTATATATTGAATAGATACAAAGTTTATAACATGTGTAAATTGTAAAGGGCAACAATACGATGAGCACAAGTGTGGCTGGAAGCTCTCAGCATGCTTTTCTCAATCCCTTCCCTCCTCCCTCTCCCTGACTTCTATTCTGAATTCTATGTTTTTCATTCTCTTGCTTCTTACAGGCTTACTATGAAAATATGTATCCCTAATGATATAGTTTTGCATGATCTTTATGAAAATGGATTAGTACTGTCCATCTTTTTTTTTCAGTTTGATTTTTCGTAAATATTATATTCCTGAGATTTAACAGCGTTAATGTGTATAACTCTAGTTCACTCATCTTCACTATTACATAGCTTTCATTGTATGAACATACCACAAGTTATTTTTCTATTCACCATTAATAGCTATTTGGTTGGTTTCAAGTTTTGCTGTTATGATCAGTGCTACTGCACAACATCCTTGTATATGCCATTTTATGAGTTTCCCTAGAGCAGTGGTCGGCAAACTCATTAGTCAACAGAGTCAAATATCAACAGTACAATGATTGAAATTTCTTTTGAGAGCCAAAGTTTTTAAACTTAAACTATATAGGTAGGTACATTGTTATTAACTTAATTAGGGTACTCCTAAGCTGGCCTTTGCTAAAAACGTCCTCAATCTGATTGAGGTACGTTCGCTGAGGTCGACCCCTTCCAACTTTCCCATCCACACTCGTCTTGTATACTTGTTTCGTCTATCTCCTTTCGTTCATCCTCTCTGTATGTCCAAACCATCTCAACATACCTTTCTCAATCCTCGACACTACATCTTCTTTCACTTCACAACGTTCCCTAAAATTAACTTAATAAACTTTAAAGTTTTAACTCTTAGTTAAACTATAGGTACCTTGAATAAAACTTGATATCATACTTAATAACGATATTATTTATTGATAAAATTAAATTCTTTACAATTTACTTTACAATATCCATAAAATTAAATCATGACAATGACTGACAAACACTAATGTGAACAATGGCCTTGCATCTCCTTGGAAAGTTTGGGTAAGTCAGGTTTGTATGTTGTTGTTTTTAATTTTAGGCATGATTCCAGGTTCTCATCAATAAGACGACTTCTCAATTTACTCTTGATAAGGTTCATGCTTGAAAATGATTGTTCGCATAAATATGTAGACCCGAATAAGGAAAGAACAGCAAACGCTAGTTTTTTCAGTTGATTATATGAGTCAGGAATACTATTCCAGGTGTTAAAAATCAACATATCTTCCTTCTCCAGGTCTTTCAAAGCAGACCACTTGTACTGTGAACTAAGTTCACATTTGTTTTTCTCCAATATTTCTTTATCAGCACAAAGACGTTCAAATTTCAAGCTCCACAGTTCTTTGTTTTTTAAATCCAGCAATTGCATTTCAAAGTTGCCAATGTCAATATAATAATAAAGCCACCAACACAAAATAATTACTATTCTTAAATTGATGACAAAAATACCTGTAGGATTTGCAGCTGGTTGGAAAAATACAGGTAATTTTATGCTTTGAGTAGGTACTTTTGTCACCTGCGTGCGCGGACGCGACTAGCACTAACCACTGCACATGAGATTGCTGACTGACTGGCTCACTCAACTCGTTCATGAACCGCGCGCGCCTCGCCTCCTCCGCGCTGTGTATCCCGCGTTTCCCGTCACCCAACCGACCGACCTACCGACACCCCCCACTTCTTCTAACGCCACTTCTTCAAAATAGACTCGCCCAGGCCGAAAACCGACTTCTGTGCATGGGCCACAAAGTTTCAATCACACTGTACGTGTGCACCCACACGTGGTATTTTGTGGAAGAGCCACACTCAAGGAGCCAAAGAGCCGCATGTGGCTCACGAGCTGCGGTTTGCCGACCACTGTCCTAGAGTATATACCTAAAAATGGACTTATAGGGTAAATGCTCCATCAACTTTACTAGGTAAGACCAAATTGTTTTCCAAAGTGGTTATCTGATTTTTAATATCACCAACAATATGTAAGTGTTCTGGACGTTCCATTTTCTCTCCAACACCATATTATTAAGACTTTAAATATTTTGCCAATCTGGCAGGCATATATATTAAAATTATAAAGCCTTGCCATTTATTGATTGACTTCTTTGTGCCAAGCAAAGTGGCAGACATTTTCATACCTTGTTTAATTTTATCCTCTCTCAATTCTTCCTCTCAACCCCATAATGGGAACTAATGCCATTCTTAGTGTGTAACACATAATTACCCCTCAACCACTCTCTGAAAAATTTATTTCTTAGTGGGTCTTTCTCTTTCACGTAGCTGCCTAATTTTTTATTTCCTGTTTTATTATTTATTTTATTTTATTTTATTTTATTTTTTAATATATTTTATTGATTTCTTACAGAGAGGAAGGGAGAGAGATAGAGAGTTAGAAACATCGATCAGCTGCCTCCTGCACATCTCCCACTGAGGATGTGCCCGCAACCCAGGTACATGCCCTTGACCGGAATCGAACCTGGGACCCTTCAGTCCGCAGGCCGACGCTCTATCCACTGAGCCAAACCGGTTTCGGCAATTTTATTTTATTTTTTTAATTAAACCTTTATTGTTCAGATTATTACAGTTGTTCCTCTTTTTTCCCCCCATAGCTCCTCTCCACCCAGTTCCCACCCCACTCTCCGCCCTCACCCCTTGCCCCAATGTCCTCATCCATAGGTGCATGATTTTTGTCCAGTCTCTTCCCGAATCCCCCACACCCCTTTCTCCCCCAAGAATAGTCAGTCCACTCCCTTTCTATGCCCCTGATTCTATTATAATCACCAGTTTATTCTGTTCATCAGATTATTTATTCACTTGATTTTTAGATTCACTTGTTGATGTGTATTTGTTGTTCATAATTTGTATCTTTACCTTTTTCTTCTTCTTCCTCTTCTTAAAGGATACCTTTCAGCATTTCATATAATACTGGTTTGGTGGTGATGAACTCCTTTAGCTTTTCCTTATCTGTGAAGCTCTTTATCTGACCTTCAATTTTGAATGATAGCTTTGCTGGATAAAGTAGTCTTGGTTGTAGGTTCTTGGCATTCATCA